TCCAGTGCTTCACCACCCTCTTAGAGGGATGATTGCTGGATGTCCACGTAATAGCCAACTCCTCTTCTTCAGCAGTTAAGGTTTGACCCTGGTACTGAGTATTGAGAATATTTGCAAGAAAATGAGCTGGAGATAGTGCTTGTCCCATTCGTTTTTTTTAATGCTTGTAATTTAACTCTGTCATTGCATACTTCTCTTTTTAAGATCTTCCTCAGTTCCTTCGAAATTTCAACAGCGTCAGCAATAAACAGCTATTTCCCTGCATTTTGTTCAAGGCTACAGAAATAAGCTTCAGGGTACTCAGCATGTGTTCACCATTTGTCTTAAGCCCAATGTTGAGAACTTTGGCTCTGACAGTGCCACCTGTTTTTTCACTATTTTGTTCACAAACTGTCATCAGATTAGGCCAGTTCTTGATATAGGGCTCATAACAATCCACTACTGAGCTCCATTGCACGTCTTGTGGGAGAGTTAGCTTGATTCCTCCCACTTTTTTCAGAGCAGCTGTTACAAAATGGTTGTTACAGAAGTATTTTGCAATTTCAACAACAGTAGCCTTTATTTCTGGAACACTGAAGTCTTTGGCTAGGAGGTGCATCAAATGAGCACTGTAACCATATGTTATTAGCTTAGGACTCTCTTTGCTCTCTTCTAAATAATTTCTTCTCATCTTGGATAAATTTGCAGTATTATCTGTGACCGAGCTGCATAGTAGACATTTGACTTTTTTTTCACAGTTTGTTATAGCTTTTACTGCTACTTCTTGTATGTATTCTGCTGTGTGTGCATTTCCTGATGTACCAATTGTTTCTGTAAGGAAGACATTCCCTTCTTCTGTTGTCACACAAGCATGTACAACAGGATCATTGTGGACATTGCTCCACCCATCAAGACTCAGGTTAACAATTTTACTCTCTAGACCTTTTGCACACTGCTCAATTTCTCTTTCATACACTTTATCCAGCAATTTGCCTGCGACATCTGCTCTGTTGGGTGGACTGTATCCTGGTCTTAATGACTGAACCATGTTAATGAAGTGTGGGTTTTCAATCATACGGAGAGGAGAGTTTGTTGCATAAACAAAAGGGGCAAATTTTTCATCAGTTACCTCTTTTTGTAATCTGCTGGATCTTATCGCAAACTTACGTATGGTTGTTTCTGGATGATGGAGATTTTTTTTTTCTTTTTGCTACAGGTGGTATACTGTGGCTATGTGACATACATGATGTGACTGAAACACTATCATTGGCAGATAACTCTGAAACGATAGAAAATGATGGTGATCTTGAAGGTGGATAGTCTTCAGAATCCTGTATGTTGAGGATGGATTCTCCTAAACAAAATAAGTCAATGCAGTTACTTTATTATTACCATACTGCTCATTTAGTATTATTCAGTGCATTTACTGACACTCAATACTACTTTAAAGGTGAAATTGTAAAAGGAAGATCAGCCTATTTCAGCTATTTATTTTTTTATCACAACTGCATCTAAAATGATAGTACCATAGAGTAAAAACTATATTTTTTGGTCAAACATGAGAATTCAGGAATAGTGCAGAAGGAAGACAGGCAGTCCTTGAGAAAGAAGTATGAAATAAAAGTTTACCAACCTGAAGATCCTGCATGTTCAGACATATTCGTTTCATCATCTTCAATGCAGCTTCCTCCTGAGAAGGAACACTTCTCATGATGTTGTTTCCTTCGGGTAACCAGGCCCTGCATTTCTTTGTTGCACTGTTTGCATTTTGCACACATGCCTGTCTTACCCACAGGTAGAGGAACTTCATTAAAATATTCCTAAACTGGGTCTTTTTTACGGCCTGCTGCCATTTTCCCTTTCAGTGAGAGAATGGTATGGTAGATCTCAAATCAATGAAGTCTACATTCAGAAAGATCTCAAGACTTCTGGAATATGCTGCTCAAACAGTTTCACTTTTGTTTCTACTGCCTGTCCCTCGCTTCTCACATTTATCTCCAGACTTCTTCTCTTTGTCCAGATCTATTCCGCCCCCAAACAATCTTCTATTCATTGAACGTTTTGAAACTTTGCAGTTTTAGAGAGAGGTAAGGGATTGACTCTGTGTACACAAATTTGCACAGGGACAATAAGGTTGAGGTCTGTTATTTCTCACCTCTATATACTAATTATTTATTTATTTTAAAACATTTTTTGCTGTTAACAAGCATGTTGTCTCTGGAGACACAAATCCACAGTTTGAGAACTGCAAAACTAAGCATCTCTGATGATATCTGCTAGACTGAGCACTGAGTCCCATTGGGTAAAGATTAAGCTAAAACTATACAGAAGCTCCTGGAACCCCGTAAGATTGGGTCCCTAATCCATGAACTCATTTACAAAATTTTTCTTAAACATTACATGAATATATTGTCTCATACTATAGAATTAGAATTTATAATCCCTATTCCATGATGAGATGTCTTTGAGCTATAATGTATCTTAATTAAAACTATCTTGATAGGTTTTTTTTCCTCAAAAAGCATTTTATCAAAAAAAATCTGATTTAAAAAAAAAATCATTGATTTTTATCCACCCTGGCCATGGATACCGAAACAATGTATACCGGGGACCCACTGGTACAGCAGTGGCATAGGTAGGAGGGGGACACTTGGGTGGGCGGGCTATGACAGGGGGTAGAGGGGTAGGAGCGATTTGGCCATCTCTTCCCCCCCACTAGCTGGCCTTGTGGGAGAGGGAGAGTGATAGATGCTCTGGCCAGGGGCTGCCAGAAAAAGCGGGGGGCCTCGTAAAAATGTGCGTACCCGCTCCGCTCAAGGCTTGCCCCGCTCCACCCGGTGCTTCTGCCGGGGAGCGGGAGCAGGGCACAGGGGCTTGCCCTGCTCTGCCCAGTGCTCCTGCTGGCGAGCAGGATTGGGGAGCGAGGGCTTGCTCCGCTCCGCCTGGCACTCCAGCCGGGGAGCGGGGTCGGTGTGTGGGGGCTTGTTTTGCTCTGCCTGGTGTTTCAGCCAGGGAGGCAGGTCAGGGGCTTGGAAGCCCCCGTGGTCTGACCCACTCGCTGGCAGGAGGGCTGGGTGAGCGGAGCGGGGCAAGCCCCTGACACCGTTCCGCAGCTGAAGCACCGGAGCTGGGCAAGCCCCGTACCCCAACCCCGCTCCTTGGCTGAAGCGCCAGGCGGGTGGTGTGGGGCAAGCGCTGGGGTGGGAGCAGGGCTGGGGGCGATGGGGGGTGGGCCTGGATGTTAAGTGGGTGAGCCACAGCCCACCATGGCTACATATATCTGTCACATATCCGTCCCTTGTCAGTAGGGGAATGTGTTCTGATTCATGTCAGTCCCGATCGACGTATCTCTCATTTGCAACTTACACAGTACAGTACTGCAAATGGTGGATACACGGATTGGGACCGACATGAATTGGAACAGGTTGATGAGCGATGGATAGGTGAAACAACGGATAATGGAGAGACTTATACCTGGGACCCCCCCGTAATGGTATTTTGAAGGAAAATGCTAGAATTTTCAAGATTAGGCCAACCACAAAACCAACAATGATTCTATATATGTAATAGTCCAAAGGAGGTTATTGATTTGGGGAAAAATTCATTGCTAACACAATTAGTGTTTCCAGCCAGATGTGTGATAGCTCATTTTTGGAGAAGGACAGATCCCCAACATTACTGGCATAGACAAATAATAGTATGATTAATCATTGCAGTGGAAAAAATGATAGATTTATATTAAGATCAAGTAGATTTTATAATGTATGGGTTACCACAGGATTTGAAGAAAATAAATTCCTAGATAATAAGAGGTTGATCAAATACAAATGAATGTTTTGAAGATAAATATAGACTATGAATGAATACTTATATAGAAAGTTCATATATATATTGTGTGGAAAAGTTAAAATTGGCCATTTATTCCTACTACATGTTTTATATCTAGACAATTTCTGATCCATAACCATTATAGGACTTTACTTCCCACTCCATGAATATTTCATTCCTTTAATAATCTTTTTGTATGTGACTATGTCAAAGGCTCTTGGAAGGTCCAGTTAAATTTATCTGTGTGTTCTCTTTTATATACTCTTGTGTTGACACATACAAAGAATTTTAGGAGTTTCCAGAGACATACATTTCCTTTACATAAACCATGTTGGTTTACCTCTGCCACATTATGTTCATCTAGATATTAATAATTCTAATTTTAATTGTTTTAACCGGTCTTCAGGATACTTCATTAATTGCCAAGATTATTTGTCAAAGCAATTTTTAGTTCGGTGAAATGTTTTTCAAAATCATTCGTATTCATTGCATAATGTACTATAAAATATATTGTTAAAACTTCTTCATATAGTTCTAGAGAACCAATCAGAATATAAGGTACTCAAAAGATTTCTGTGTATTAGTTTATTTATTCAAATGTAGTCCTGCCATCTCTGCATAAAAGTAATAAAATAATATAAAGCCTAGAAAACTTAAATTTTCAAAATATTTTTATGTCTTTACTTGAAGTTAGGAAGAAAAAGATCCCATAATGTCATTCGTCCATTAGTGACTTTATGTATTTGCTGTAAAATCATAATTACATCATCCATTCTACCAAAATTAAAATCAGGCTTCAGTTAGTTTTGCATTTTGAATTTTGATTTTCACTGTCTGTAATTCCCTTTTAGAAATTTAAAAATAATGTCATTTCCCTGCAGTTTGGTTTTTTTTCTGATTGGTAAAGTTTTTATTACTAATCTGAATACTTCTTCTTTATGTGGATTAATTTATGTGAATGCTAAACAAAAGGAAAAAGGAACTCTATGATGGTCCATTTCAATGTGGTGTTCTAAAAGAGAGTTAAAGTATTTCTCTTCTGAATTGTAAAAGGGGTGAGGAAAATAAAGCAGGTCTGATTTGTTCGTTCAGAATGTAAATGCATATTAGTAAAGATTACTATTCTGACCATTTTCTATCCTTCAGAAGGCCAGTACGTAACATTTTATTTAATACTTATTTTAACTCCTCAGGTACTTTACGGCCTATTTCTCCATGGCGTTGGCTTTTTTCAGTTGTGGTTCCACTAATGATTGCTTCACGAGGCTTTAAGAAGAAGAGCCTGGATCACAGCGGAGCTTTAGGGGGTATGTATTTTCTGGGAATATTAAGTGAACTATTTAAAATATAAACTAATGTGCCTTTCTTAATTTTTGCATTTCTGTGCACTTTTAAGGACTTCCTACTCTCAATTCAATAATAACGTTAACATATAAGTGTAAGCATACAATATCTGTCATGGCTTCATGTTGTTTAATTTGAATGTCATTTATACTTGTTTAAGCAAGCAGTTTATGCTACTGTAACTACAAATCACTATTAATATTGCCAATAAGACTTATTTAAATATATAAAATTATTTTAAGTTTCAGTACAATATATATATTAATCTGTTTTTAGATATAAAATCCACTACAATAATGGCAATGAGACATGAGATAACATACACCATCTTACTCTGTAGTATCTGTAGTCTTTGTGGAGAGACTGATGGTTGCAGTCTCTTTCCATCCATGCGTAGCCAGAAGAGTGAAAAGAGTATGGGGAAGGAGGCTGCTGGAAAGCAATTCCCTCAATCTAAGGGTATGTCTACACTACAAGAGTAGTTTGATTGTACTTAAATCGAATATGTGGAATCAATATTACAAAGTCGAACGTGTGTATCCACACTAAGGACAGTAATTCGACTTTGTGAGTCCACACTAACGGGGCAAGCGTCGACATTGGAAGCGGTGCACTGTGGGCAGTGATCCCACAGTTCCCGCAGTCCCCGCTGCCCATTGGAATTCTGGGTTGAGCCCCCAATGCCTGCTGGGGAAAAAAATGTGTCGAGGGTGGTTTTGGGTAACTGTCGTCATCCAACCGTCACTCCCGCCCTCCCTCCCTGAAAGCGCCGGTGGGCAATCAGTTCGCGCACTTTTCTGGTGAGTGACAGCGCGGACGCCACAGCACTGCGAGCATGGAGCCCGCTGCGACCATCGCTGCAGTTGTCAACACCTCGCACCTTATCATCCACCTTTTCCAGAGGCAGATGCTGAGAAATCGGGCGAGGAGGCTACGGCAGCGTGGTGAGGACATGAAGTCTGAGAGTGGTACAGACCTCTCACAAAGCACGGGACCCCGCGCCGTGAACATCATGGTGGCAATGGGTCATGTTGATGCTGTGGAATGGCGATTTTGGGCCCGGGAAACAAGCACGGACTGGTGGGACCACATAGTGCTGCAGGTCTGGGATGAATCACAGTGGCTGCGAAACTTTCATATGCAGAAGGGAACTTTCCTGGAACTTTGTGAGTTGCGGTCCCCTGCCCTGAAGCGCAAGGACACCCGGATGCGAGCAGCCCTGACTGTCCAGAAGCGAGTGGCCATAGCCCTCTGGAAGCTTGCAACACCAGACAGCTACCGGTCAGTCGCGAACCACTTTGGCGTCGGCAAATGTACCGTCGGGGTTGCTGTGATGCAAGTAGCCAATGCAATCGTTGAGCTACTGCTGTCAAAGATAGTGACCCTTGGAAACGTCCAGGTCATCATAGATGGCTTCGCCGCTATGGGATTCCCAAACTGCGGTGGGGCTATAGATGGAACTCACATCCCTATCCTGGGACCGGACCACCAGGCCAGCCAGTACATTAACTGAAAGCGCTACTTTTCAATGGTGCTGCCACCACTGGTGGACCATAGGGGACATTTTACAAACATCAACGTAGGATGGCCGGGCAAGGTTCATGACGCTCATATTTTCAGGAACTCTGGTCTGTTTAGATGGCTGCAGGAAGGTATTTACTTCCCAGACCAGAAAATAACTGTTGGGGATGTGGAGATGCCTATAGTGATCCTCAGGGACCCAGCCTACCCGCTAATGCCCTGGCTCATGAAACCCTATACAGGCGCCCTGGACACTGAAAAAGAACTCTTCAACTACCGTCTGAGCAAGTGCAGAATGGTGGTGGAGTGTGCTTTTGGACGTCTCAAAGGGAGATGGAAAAGCTTAATGACTCGCTCTGATCTCAGCGAAACCAATATCCCCATTGTTATTGCAGCTTGCTGTGTGCTCCACAATCTCTGTGAGAGCAAGAGGGAGACCTTTATGGCGGGGTGGGAGGTTGAGGCGAATAGCCTGGCTGCTGATTATGCCCAGCCAGACAGCCGTGTGATTAGAAGAGCCCAGCGGGACGTGATGTGCATCTGGGAGGCTTTGAAAGCTCGGTTCCTCAGTGAGCAGGGTAACCTGTGACTATTAAGTTTGTTTAAAGAGAAGCTGAACCTGCCCCCATTTCTTTATCCACTTACTGTTGACTATCCTCTCCAGCTACATACCCCATTCACCCCGTTTTTCCCCCCCCTTACAACACATGTTTAAAAATAAAATAAATGGAACTTTGTTAATGAACACCGTTTTCTTTATTACGGATTTCGCGGTAAAGTGTTGAAACTGGGACGCAGACTGTGGTGGGGAGTGGGCATAGTGATGGAAAGAACGCTTCTAAACTCGAGGAATGACAGGTTCCTGCTCTTAGAGTGGTCCGCAGTGGTGGACTGGTTGTTTCAACGGAGCCTGCCACCCCTCCTTTTCGGGACTCCGTATGTGGGGGCTATGTGACTTTGTGGCGGGGGAGGACGGTTACATATCCTCTGCTGCGTGGCTCTGTGATCCAGGATAAGGACCGCTGCATAAGATCTCTATCCGCCCTCCCCTGCCACAAAGTCACATGCCCCTTCCCCCCCCACAGAACATGAAAACCACCTCCCAGACTGACCAGGGTGCTTAGTGACTGCAATGTGTGTGTGACCTTCTGCTGAACCTGCCCCCGTGTCTGTACCCTGGTAAAGGTGACTGTTCTCTCCAATTACCAACCCCTTTCTCCCCCTTCAAACACACTCTCCCCTAAAAGAACATGATGGAAACAGTAATTAACAGAAACATATCTTTTATTAGCAACTACACAGTTAGGGATGAAACTGGGACGGGGGCTTGGGTGAGGTGGGAAGGAAAGGACTTATCAAATTTTTGGGAATGAGAGCCTTTTGGTACTTGAGCAGTCTGCAGGGGTGGAGTGACAGTTTTCACGGCCCCTGCCGCCCCTCCTTCTTGGGACTTTGGGTGAGGGGGGTATGGGAGTTTGTGGCTGGGGAGGGCGGTTAGAGAGAGACTGCAGCGGGGCTCTGTCCTCCTCCCTCTGGTCCTGCAGAACATCCACAAGGCGCCGGAGCGTGTCTGTTTGCTCCCTCATTAGTCCAAGCAGCATTTGAGTCGCCTGCTGGTCTTCCTGCCGCCACCTCTCCTCCCGTTCACTGTGTGCTCGCTGGTATTGCGACATGTTCTCCCTCCACTGGGTCTGCTGGGCCGCATCGGCTCGGGAGCAGCCCATAAGTTCTGAGAACATGTCGTCCTGTGTCCTTTTCTTTCTCCGCCTAATCTGCGCCAGCCTCTGCGAGGGGGATGCCAGGATAGGTCGGGAGGCAGTCGCAGCTGTGGGATGGGAAAAAGGGAGTGAATTCCTCACAAAGATAATTTTTTGTGAACAATGAACATAGTCTTTCTCTGTGAACAAGACCATGCACAGCACCTATCACATGCGCACTCAGGACAAGGTCGAATTTTTGGCCTTCACATTCATGCCTGGGGTCTTGCAGTGGAGATCAGACAAGCGGGGCAGGACAGCGGAATTCGGGTAGCAGGCTGACATGGTAAGCCGTAGACTTTTGGCTGCTTAAAACTTAAATTATAGCAGTGCCCTCCTTTCACGTTCAAAGCAATGCTCCTATCATTGGCCAGTTCTGCTGCTGGCAATCTGACAAGCATGAACTCTGTCCCTGTCCCACCCCCTCGCGGCTGTCCCCGGGAAAGATCCGTGTTTGCTGCCCCTCTCCCGCCTCCACTGCGTGGCTGTAAACTGCCAGTGACAGTTCTGTAAAGGAACAGGCAAGCAGTCTCAATAGTAACATTCCCCTAATTCTAAGCAGGTCACCATGAGCGACATCACTCTGCTTAGAATTTCTGAGACCGAGAAAGAACGCATGCTGCGTGAAAGCCAGCAAAAACCAGGGCCGTATGCCGCCATGCTCTGCAAGGCAATGATCCCAGAGTACTTGATGATAGCCTGGCGAGGAAAAGTTTCCTACCACAGAGGACACAATAAGGCTGCTCTCCCCAGGAACCTCATGCAAAGGCTTTCCAATTACCTTTAGGAGAGCTTCGTGGAGATGTCCCATGAGGATTTCAGCTCTATCCCTGGACATATAGACCTTCTTTTCCAGTAGCTGCACTGGCAAGGACTAAAAAGTAGAGCGCCTAGGGCAAACTAATCATGATAAACCGGACATTGTTCGATTCTTTTTCAGTAGTTGCACTGCCAAGGACTAAAACGTTAAGCACCTAGGGCAAACAAATCATGAAAAACCCATTGTTAATATTCCTGTTCTGTTCAAAATAAATGTTTACATGTTTAAAACACGTACCGACTGATCCTTCCCCTGATTCAGGGTCTGGGTTAACTCCTGGGGACGGTTGGTAGGGGATCTCTGTGAGGGTGATGAAGAGATCCTGGCTGTCTGGGAAATCAGCGTTGTAAGCGCTGTCGACTGCCTCGTCCTCCTCCTCACTTTCCTCATCTTCCCCGTCCGCTAACACCTCTAAGGAAGCGGCCATCGACAATATCCCATCCTCAGAGTCCACGGTCCGTGGTGGGGTAGTGGTGGCGGCCGCACCTAGAATGGAATGCAGTGCCTCGTAGAAACGGCATGTCTGGGGCTGGGATCCGGAGCGTCCGTTTGACTCTTTGGTCTTCTGGTACGCTTGTCTCAGCTCCTTGATTTTCACGTGGCACTGCGTTGCTTCCCGGCTGTACCCTCTCTCTGTCATGGCTTTCGAGATCTTCTTGTAGATCTTTGCATTCCGTCTTTTCGATCGCAGCTCCGAAAGCACGGACTCATTGCCCCACACAGCGATCAGATTCAAGACTTCCCGATCAGTCCATGCTGGGGCCCTCTTTCTATTCTGAGATTGCATGGTCACCTCTTCTGGAGAACACTGCATCGTTGGCAGTGCTGCTGAGCTCGCCACGATGTCCAAACAGGAAATGAGATTCAAACTGTCCAGACAGGAAAAGGAATTCAAATTTTCCTGGGGCTTTTCCTGTGTGGCTGGTCAGAGCATCCGAGCTCGGACTGCTGTCCAGAGCGTCAACAGAGTGGTGCACTATGGGATAGCTCCCGGAGCTACTAGCGTCGATTTCCATCCACACCTACCCTAATTCGACATGGCCATGTCGAATTTAGCGCTACTCCCCTCGTTGGGGAGGAGTACAGAAATCGAATTTAAGAGACCTCTCTGTCGAACTAAATAGCTTCGTTGTGTGGATGGGTGCAGGGTTAATTCGATTTAACGCTGCTAAATTCGACATAACCTCCTAGTGTAGACCAGGCCTCAGACATAGAGGGAGCCTATCTGCTTGATTCTTCAGTTTATGTGGTACAGACCCAGACTGTTCTCTGTGATTTCCTTTGCTGAAGGATGGGCAGTGCTCCTTTCTTGCCTCCCAAAAATAAAAAGGCAATTAATGATCTGGTCAAGCCTGCTTTTCTTGACTAGCTGGAGAAACACCAAGGTACAGTAGAGCAGCATTACCAAATTCTGATACAAGCCATGTAACTGTGGTGCTAGTCCACTTCATGAAGCACAGGGCAGAAATGAGGATCAGTGTCGGGGAGAAGGGTAAAAGAGCACAACCCCAAATCTTCCCCTCTTTTATATCACACTGCAAATATGGTACTTCATCTGCAGGTAAAATGGCAGGCAACACCTTGAAAGCCAGCAACTTCACTTTTCTTCTCCTTTTGTAACCCCTACTGTAACCAGACGGAGGAGTAGCTCACTTGTATAGAGAGTCAGGCCAAGCTTCTCTACTGCAGTGACATTGAGCTAGCTGAGCCTCAGGTGGCACCAGTTGTCTTCTTTTACTAGCAGAATGTGGCTTCGGATGAGCAGTTGAGTAAGTAGGGGGAATCCGAAGTACATAGTCAGTAGGAGAAAAGTCAAAACTAACATGTGAAAAAGCAACAAAGAAAAGAATGGCAAAAAGGAAATAATAGACAGAAAAGAAAAAGCAAGAGAGAAAATGAACAGAAAAAAGGAGAGAGATTAGCAACTGTCAGGACATGATATGAATGGATCGGGGAGAATGCCCAACCTGTCAAATAATCCAAAGAGGTGGCTCTATTTAAAAAAAAAAAGGAATCCAAGTCATGAAAAGATGTGTTTAAAGTCAGCATTCAAATAGTAGTGGCTGGAAACATAACAATAGCTCTCTGTCTGCTTTCTGCCTAGAAACAATAAAATACTGCAGGCAGGGTATATCCAGGAATTTTCACTTAGATGTCATTTGGCCTCATCTTATTGTTTCATTTTCTTTGTATCTTCCATAGATGAGTGTTACTGTTTCCTGGAAATATCAGATGTCTGTTTCAGAAACCATGTTAAATGTTAAAGGAAAACATCAAAGCAAAAAAGGCCAAAAAAAATTTTCAGTCTAAATGGTTGGCTCTTTTTAAATTGTGTAGACAGTTTTCAGGTACTACAGTAATGATCTAGCTAATTGCACTGTCATTTTATTTTAGGTTTATCATGAAAGAGTAATTGATAATTTTTGAGACTCCAAAATAATTTCCTGTTAATTGTTTTGAAAAGATGATTGCGTGAACTAAACTTGCTTGATTTGCCCCCCCCCCCTTTTTTTTTCCAGGATTAGTGGTTGGGTTTATCCTAACAATTGCAAATTACAGCTTCTTCACTGCTTTGCTCATGTTTTTTGTTACTTCTTCAAAACTTACTAAGTGGAAAGAAGATGTGAAGAAGCATATAGATTCAGAATTCAAACAAGGTAAACACTAAGAATTATACTGTCAGATAATCTGTAAAGAATAGATACTGTATCTTACCTGATACTTTTGAAAGTTAGAGATATTATGTAGTAGTACACAGAATAGAGAACACTGTAAAGCGTTCTTATCCTCTTTATCCCCATTCTGGACTAGATGCAATGTGCTTGCTAGTGGTTCATTTAATAGTAATAAATTAAAAGTAGTGATTGTGACTCGAGATTTTCATGTTGGTTTTTGAGTTTGTGTGGGTTTGTTTGGGTTTTTTTGCGCTTTTTAATTTGCTTTTGCTACTGTATGATGTGGCTGAATATCGAGTATCTCTGCTACAGTGAAAATATTCAAATATTTTTGTTTGTTTTTACTCGAGGTGGGCAGAGGAATTGGGTGCAAGTATTTTGTAATGGTGGTGTCCCTACGGAGCTGGCTCTGCTATATATGATAGAAAATGGACCAGGTGAAATTCCAATAGACTTTTCCAAGCAGTACACTGCATCATGGATGTGTTTATCCCTTTTGGGAGCTTTGGCCTGCTCTGCTGGAGATACATGGGCTTCAGAGATTGGCAGTGTCTGGAGTAAAAGTGAGCCAAGGTTAATAACAACATGGGAAAAGGTTCCAGTAGGTAAGGGCTTACTGATTTACACATTCTTGTCTTAATACTGTGTCATTTCTGTCTGGAACCCTTAATATAATCATATCCATAAAAAGAATAAATCAAATTCTGCTAGCATTGTGAAGTTTTGAGTGGTAAAAATTAGTACTTTGACATAGTATTTACCACATTCTGTTTGTCATGGGCTGTAAATAAAAAAATAGCTTGGAGAGAGAGAGAGCGAAAAATTCAAAAGTACCTTTTGGTTTGGTTCAAACTGAAACAGTCTTTTTCTTGCCAAAATGGGGAGGAAAAAAATTCATTTTGGGTTGAACAAAACATTTTGTTTGACCCAAAACAAATGTTATCATTTTCAGGTGTTTTTAACCCTCTTTATTTAAAAAAAAATCTAAATTATGAAACCAAAGAGTCAAAATAAAATGTATTAAAATGTTTTGTTTTTTGAAATGGTGTGAAATAAACTGTTTTGACATTTTCATTCTGACTTTTTCATCCAAAATAGTGGTTCCCAAACTTTAACAACCTGTGAACCCCTTTCACTAAAATGTCAAGTCTCATGAAGACATGAGACAAGACTCCTGTGTTTCATCAAGTAGTATCAGATGTGAAACAGCATGAAGGTATTTAAGAAGCCAACTCAGAGTTCCTTCTACACAAGCATTCAGGTCTTGAGCAGTCCAGGCAAACAACACACGTTACAACAAAGCTTAAACTTGTCTTCATAATAATTTTAAAAGCAATACTAGCTGCCTGTTTAATTTTAAAAACAGCAAAAAATATCCACCTCTCTTTCCATTTCTTATAAGAAGTCTTGAAGTTTAAATCTCCCCAGTGTGATAGATAAACTTGCTTTGATCTGCTTAGCTCTTGGAAGTCTGGGGGCTCCAGGCTGCTGGCCTTGTGCTGCCTGGGGTTCCTGGGGACAGCTCTGTTTGCCATTAGGGAATTTTTTCCCGTTAACCCCCAGGGGTTCACAAACCCCAGTTTGGGAACCACTGATCCAAAGCTATTCACCAAATTTGACCTGATTTTATGAATCGTTTGTGACCTGAAAAATGCATTTTTTGACAGATTTACTATTGTGAAAAAACTTCACGTAGCTACAGGTAGATAGCATCCTGTGAGATGAAACCCTTACAGAATTCTGAGACTGCTTGTTTTTACTACCATTAGTATGTTCAGATTGCAGAAGATGTAGTTTAAAGAATGGTAACTGTCATCTAACTTGCTTTAAAAAAGGGGAAGTGAAAAGCTTTTTAAAATCAAGCTAGATAAAATTTCTAATCAGTAGCAGAATGTGTGTTTTAAATGTAAAGATTACAAAAATGCACTTTTAAACCAAATAGTCAATTCATTTCCTGCTTTGCTGTCTTACCACTCCTTGTCTCCATTAATTGATGACATTGTTAACTCTTAAACAATTCATAGTATTGAGTTTTCTTGAAGCAAAGAAATTTAGATCCCTAAATTTGAGAGTTGGTGATTGTAATATTGTAAGTTGATTTCTAAATTGTGTGAGGACAGTAGTTTGCCTCATATTTTTTTCACCATAAATGCTTACTGGGTTCCTTTTGAGTAAGTAGTTAAACATGTTGCTTTTTTAGATAATTCTTTTAAATATCTTTTGCGCAATACATACCTTGATGAACTGCTTCTGAAAGTTTGAATGGTAGACACTCTGGCTGAATAGAGTTACGTGTACAGGTTGGGAGGATATCTTTATCTTCCTCCCACTCTACCCCTAAAATTGAAGTTTCTAAGTAATACTGAAACTTTGTGAAAGTTTCTGGATTAATAGCCACAGAGACTGAAGTTATCAGATTACTGAAGTGGTAGTTCATAGGCAGCAACTTTGCAGGGTAAGCTTCCCAGCACAGTGCCAGTCAGGAAGGATCAGCTCTTGCCTTGTCTACACTAGCCTTTTTTCTCTAAAATTTCCCACCACTGCTAACACTGGTTGTAGCTCCATCAGCAGTAACAACAGTGAGAGCATCAGTGTAGACAATCTGTTGGTCGCTACTGGAAATTTCAGAGAAACAAAGACTAGTGTAACAGAGCTTCTGGGAGTGAGAGGGTTGTTCTGTTTTCACTGTCAAGTAAACCATTAAAGCCAATTAATACATCTTCCGAAATGGTTTATAACTCAACTCCGTTTTTCTTTGATTTAGGTACTAATGGAGGTGTTACGTTAGTGGGCCTAATTTCAAGTCTCATTGGTGGCATGCTAGTAGGTGTGGCTTACTTCATTACTCAGCTTGTTTTTGTGAGTGATCTGGATATATCTGCTCCACAGTGGCCACTCGTTGTGTTTGGCGCAATGGCTGGTTTACTGGGATCAATTATTGATTCATATTTAGGAGCTACAATGCAATACACCGGTAAGAAATGTTCTGCTTATTTTTCTGTTTAACTTAAAATCTCCCTTTTAACTCTAGAGAGGCTGGGGAAGTGGTTTTGAAAACGGGGAAAGAATGGAGGGATTACTACAGTGGTCAAAGAAAGGTAAATAGAATAGTTGAGATCAGAAAGAAGATAGGAGAAAAGGCAATTTATCTTTACCCTTATCCTCTGCCATCTTCGTTCTTCTCCCCACTTTTTGATTTTGGCATTTCAAAATTTTCTGACGCTGCTATCATCTTTGAGTCATTGAAATGGTATGACAAGGGAAAAAATTGTGGTATTTTTTTTTTATCAGGCCTTGCTTGAATATGTCAGATCCTAGTAGTGCACACTGGCTTGTGCACACTGGCTTTGTGTACTTTTATTATTGTTCCACTGAATTGCTATCAAACCAAAGTGTGTGTAATATTATATGACAATACTTTCCTTTTACTTTCTATTATCCTATCACAAACATAGTAAAGTTAAGGCCAAATTGTCCCACCTTATCACATGGAGTAATGCGTTACTTTGCAAATAGTCACCTTGATTGGAATGAAATTAGTTGTAGAGTCAGGTACTATTTGTGGTGATTACGGGAGGCAGAATCTGGCACTTGTGCAGTGCATTTGGGTTTTGATTGTGGCTTTCACTAAAGATGTTTATATGGGGGGCAGAAGGTCTTTTTCTTTGTTTTTCTTGGGTTTGGCAAGTTATCTAGAAAATAAACATGAGGCTTGGCTTTTTGTAGCACGTATTAAGTAAAAGTTAGGCTACCCCAGCATGAAGTTAGTGCCTCTGTAGTCTCATCCTGTTCACCACTGAACTCTGGCTTTGGCCTAAGTTTAGTAAGAGATTGGAAGGCGGCAATACTGCCAGCTATTTGCTTCCCAAACAGGCTTTAAAAAAAATGTTGTCTGTGGTGTGTTTGCAGGCATCTCTTTACAATAAAACAGAAGTTCAAGGTGAATATTCTTATCTTTTAACATGCTAGGCATTAGGAGATACTCAAAAGCTACGAGAGAAATACTGGCATATATTGGTCTGGCCGGCTTTGAGGTGCTTCCTCCTCCCTTCGTTCCCCACACAAACACCTCATATGCCAGTTTTCTAGAAATGTACATTTCTCCTGGAACACAAAATAGTGGAGTGGCAGGGAGCGCACTGGATAGCTAATGAAAAACAGTGTTAAAATGCTGCTAATATAAAGGTAGAGTAAGAACAACAACATAAGAACAACATAGAGTAGAGAGTAGCTAGGTTAGTGGAGGGAAAGCCATGCAGCTAGCTAATAAATACTGAAGTGGGCTGTAGTCCACGAAAGCTTATGCTCCCAGTACTTCTGTTAGTCTCAAAGGTGCCACAGGACCCTCTGTTGCATTTAAGACAGTGGTGCCCAAACTTCCTGTTGTGTCTGCCCCTTACCAGTAACGGAATCTGTCTGTGCCTCCCCTTTCATTACTGCAGAGTTGGCTCAACAGAGGAGCTTGGGCTGAAGGCAAAACTGTGTATGGGGGAAGAAGAGCTGGGGCTAGAAGCGGAGCTGGCCGGGGGGCAGAAAGGGAATGAGGGCAGAGTTGAGCTGGGGCCAGGGCCAGAGCCGTAGCTGCAGCCAGAGCGGGGCTGGAGCTGGGCAGTGCTCTCTCTCCACCCCTCCTCCCTTGTGGGGGCCATCCGGGGTCTCGCTGCGTGCCTCCCCAAATGTTTCTCCACTGATCTAAGAGGAGTAGACTTGCCATCAGACAGAGTAACCATTTTCTTTATACCGTTTATCATTGAAAACTAATTCTTTTTGACAGACATACTTTGTTTCTAACCATTTGTTTGTTCAACAGCATCATTCATATCCGAACTCTTTAGTTTTTTGTTCTTGATTAGCACTATTATTAGCTTCTTATTATAGGACTGCATATGTAGATTTCATAGAAATAGTAACTACATTTTTAAAAAAGCTTCTCACTAACAGTAATTAAAAGTATAGAATCTAGATTCCCTTCTTTGAGGCTATTAGCGTTAGTTTAGAATAATAGTTTAACATTATTGGCTAGTTAATTGTCCTTTTTATATATGTTTGACTCAACAGCCATATACTTAGCACTTGTAGGCAGTCATGTACATTTGAAGTCTTGGTACTAGTGGGTTTCCTCTCAACTATGATAGTATTGTAAATTGATCTTTTATTTACTTCTTTCCCCAGGTTTTGACAAGCGTATTGGCATGGTTGTCAACTACGAAACAAAAGACTCCAAGCACATATCTGGAAAACCTATACTGGACAACAATGCAGTGAACCTCTTTTCTTCTGTAGTCATTGCTTTGTTACTTCCTGGTGTGGCATGGGGTTTCTGGCCTAGAGGGTGAAACTTCTTAAGTCTTTTAATACATAGTTCAAATACACTTAATATGAATCAAAGGTTACTCCCCAAAACACTGTTTTTAGCTTGTTTGAGGGAGTCCTCTGCATCCTTTTCAGATCCAGAAGGATTCACTATCTTAACTTCCTTAGGCTGTAAGTTTTATGGGCAGCCACCATCTTTCTGGAGAAAGAGGACCAGATGAGGCACTGTTAATAACCTGTCAGTGCTACTCCTTAATTGGACACAGATTGCTACTTTGTAACATGAAGCAATTCGTTTTCCCTTCTGGAGCTGAATGCTTGGCCTCCAAATCATTTCCAACACCTGGCAGAAGAAAGAGTGAAAGAATACAACTAGAAATTTAACCTGGGTCTGCCATACAACTACTATTAACACTGTTCACCAAGCCACAAACAAAGTACTATATATTTTCTGTAATGTAGAACATAGTAGTATCGATGAAATCACTGAATTCTAGTTTAGTATACATTTCCCATTGTCTGCTCAATATTATAGGTTTTATAGAGGTGTATTGAAGTCTTTAAAAAAATTGTACTTTAATAAGCATTGTTGCCTATTCCATGTTGTATTACTTTTTTGCCATGCTTTTGACGATGGGTAAGAAAAAGTAATGCTTTAACATAATGTCTCAGGCATATGACTAAATTTAAAATCAAAACTATCCTTTTTCCAATAAGCAAAACAAGAATATAAAGCTTATATAAGCAGCATTATAAGGTACTTCTTAGATTAAGTTATTGATATTAAAGTAAAGATTACATTTTTTTTTAATTCAAAATCAACTGGTTAGAAAAGATGTAACTTGTTCTGTAACTGTGGAATTACTCTTTAATAATCGGAGTTTAATAGCACGTTCACCAAGTTGTGGTCTTCATGTTCTTTCTCAGTAACCCTACTTTTTTGCTTTACAAATTACTGCTCACTGGAGATGTCAAGGTGTTGGGTCCTTTATTGTTGATAAACTATTACAGGGTTTTCACTTTTGTCATTAAATGACAGGCTAAAAAGTTTTTCAGTTAACAATTTAGTATTTATTATATAGAATCAGATCCTGCAACTGGGTTGCATGCGTGGATCCTTTTGGCCATATAGAGATCATCCACCTGGATCCATTTGCAGGATATGACTCATAATGTGTGCATCAAAAAAAGTTTCTTCCAATCTGAGAGCGATTACCAGTTCCAGGGATATTCCCAGTTTTAAGTATAGGAGACTTGGCAGAATCTTTCAAAAGAGAATAAACTAAGTGTGACCACTGCATCCTAATGTTCTTGTTGAAAAGCACTGTAACATGAAAGGCATAGATGCCCTTACTGATTAATTATATTTAATTTAACTGTAAATAAATCAGTTTTTCTTTATGATATATGTAGGATTTTGTGCTAACACATTTTTGATTTTGTTAATGCCACTAGACATTAGAGGAAGGCTCTTAGAAAGAATAAAGTAGATGATGGTGAGTTCGGTAAGAAAGTGAAAACATACATATACTTTGAGAGGGTTTAGCTTTTAATTTAAATATTTGTATTGTCTGCAGGAATCAAAGGTATCTTTTCAGGGATTAAGGACACTTTTAGCCAAGTTTCCATTGTAATCTAATGTGGATCCCAAGACTAAAACAGCACACAACACTGAACATATATCCATAACATATTTAAAAAAAACCACACTTTACGTAGCAGTATGAAATGTCTTCATTGCTGTTAAATTAAATTGTAAACAAGCAATTTTGCACTTAGCAGATAAGGGTGAGATTTTCAAAAGTGTAACGTATTGGCTTACCTCCGTCAGTGAGAGCAGAGTTAGGCCAACACTGAGTGCTTTTGAATTTCCCACCATTAAATTTCTAGTGTACAGAATTGTATTTAAAGAATGATTCTCGCCTTTTCTGTAGCATTAGTTTTATTAAATAATATCAGTTCTGGACAGGATACAATTACACTGGACAAGATACTATTAAATTGAACAGAACATAGTAGTGCAGATTATGTTGCCTTTGATTTTTGTATTTTACGCAATAGCTGTGCAGAAAGTGTAGCCCTTATGAGAGGAGGAGGAGGAGGAGAAATATAGGGAAACTGTATGTGACTTGGTGCCTGTAAACCAGTGCATGTCACTAAGTGTAGTTATTGGGACCAGAAAGAAGCCGATGGAATGTTAACATTTGAGATCATTAGAAGGTGTCTGGGTAGGCACAGAGAAAATAGATGAAAGTAAAAGGGCGGGTGATAAAAGGGAAGGAGGCAAAATAAGCAGAGTAAGATATTAATAGAAATGAATTGAGCTCACATAGTGTTTTTCCATAGTAAGCAATTACATTACACTTTGTTTTAAATATTTGAATATTTGTTTTGCCTCAATGCCTGTATATGGATTAGTATTTGAGATTAATCTGTGCCTGTAAATTAAAATTTGACATTTACCTGGCACTAATTTATTTTTTCTTACTGAAACAGCATGAAAATTCACAAATCACCTCTCCAATACTTTGATCAGATTTCCTTAAACTGAAAAATTCCAGTTGGAGGTCAGTTGAGCCTTATCTGTATAGTTTTTATGGATTGTGTATGTTAAAGAAAATGACTATTTTTCACTATAAATATGAAGTAGTTTTTCTTAATAAACACATAATGCAATTGGTTTTTGTGTGTTAAATCTTGTCTCTGTCTGAAAAAAACTTTCACTTGGTCTGGTATCTCAATCTGAAGCATTTTTAAGGATACAACAATGCAATCATTTATTTACAGAATACAGCTTTATAATTGTACTAATTTACTAAGTGTCATAAATGAGCATTGTTTGTGCCTGAGAGATCCACCGTAGTTAAGTGTGCGAGCCCTTCAATGAGACATGTTTAGCTAAAACCACTAAATAAGGGATGTCAAACAGTCTGGGGAGATGGCCCAATTACGTGTTAAAATGTGGCCCAGGACTTTGATTTTTAAATTATTACTTTGAGTCCAGATAATCCATGGAACAGCTATAAAAGATAGAATATGGTTTTAGTGATGCATGGCCCTTTCTGGATCACTACTACTTCTGCCTTTTGTTTGGCAATTTCTGCATGCAGTTAACTGGTGTGTATTAACAGTTGTTAACTGTGTATGCAAATTGCATGCCTACATTATTTTCAAATCTGATTCCTAAATATCCATTATTGGCTTCATAGTGAACACTGGGAGATGAATGGGAGAGTTCTCACCCATCTGCTGTTTAGGATAGGACTACACTAATTCATGTTCAGATGGTTGTCTTTGCAACAAAGGGTTGAAACTTTTTTTTTAAAATGAAAGCTTGCATCCTATTGAATCTGGATGCCAGATTAACACATCAAGTGGACTGATGCCCTTTCTAAAATGAAAGAAGTTTAAGACTGGATGGCTCAGGATTGGTAATAGGGCTTGTCTACATAGGTATGTTATATCCAATTACCTTAAGTTTGCCTTAAAGTGCCTTGCATCTATACATAACCTTTTAAAAAGTGAATTTGGCATCTTACGTTGCTGTAATGAATCCTTGCAAGAGAAGCAACTCTGCAATGAGTTTGTTTGCTGTAAGGTTTGCATATGCGCATTCCTAACTACTATACTTCTGGCAGTCTCCCCAGTGCATTGCTTCACACCTGGATCAGATTATCTGTGTACCTCCATGGCTCATCTTGACTGGATCTCACCTCCCTGTTTAAATGCAGGCTGGCCTGTGCCTCTTTTTGATACCAGATAGTGAGTTCACACACCTGGAGTCACATATGTTATAGCCATACCCCTCCCTTCCCCCAAGACTTCCCTGTGGACCCATGCTTCCCATTCCCCTAGATTTATTTGTGAACTCCTGCAGAGGTGCTAGATTGGATTGTTGTTTTGGAGAGTTGCATGTTCAGTGCTTGGAGAAGAGTCACCAGAAGGCAGACTTCTACAAGACACTGACAGAACCAATGAAGAGCAGGGCACTCCCATACCTGGTCCCAGTGCAGTCAAAGCACAGGATCTCCAGCAGAAGTAGCTGAAGGCAAGGGACAGGAACAGGACCTCTGGTAAAGCTCCCACGGCTTGCCGGTACTATGAGGACCTGGACTGTTTCTGCAATCAAAGCCATCACTGCACTTAAGAATGATGTGGTGGACAGTTTTCCACAAAGCACCCTAGATAGCATAATTGGTGCCCTTTGACCCCATTTATACCAGGAAGTCTGACAGGAGATTTTTCTGGGCAGCCAAGAACGGTATTACACAGCAGATTTAGAGATTACACAAGAACATTGTATGGATAGCCGGCCTGAAATGCTGTGGATGAGAGCTCTACAAAAATGAGCCTGAAAACGCTACAGAGGGGAGTTGTACCAGTACACACCTGGTGCTGTATTACAATACAAATGTACAGGGAGAGTTAAATAACGTTTTTCGTTGTACTAACTGTCTGCTGTCGTGTTCGAGGAGCCTTTTCCTGCCTGCTTAGCTTTTAACTGCACTACACTAAAAGTTATGAAGTTTTATTTCCCTGCAGTATCAAATCCTGCTACTGGTTCCACTTGCTGCCTCCAAAATCCCCTTCCTGAGCTGTTTCCTGCTCTCTTTCACCCACCCCTGCACAAGATGTTGGCAACACAGGCCGGGTAAAATCCTGCATGGCAGGTGTGTTGTAGCCACAGAGTAAAAGCGATAGCCAAAGCATTGTGGCTCAGTTGCATTAATACCCTCAACTTTTAGCTAATTTATGTTGTGAAGTAAATTGCCCAAGTGAGGCTAGAGAGATTTCAAAACAGATTGTAATGCATTCATTCACTGCAGAGAGCTTTTTATTTTGGAGTGCACTTTGTTCATCTGAGGGTGTCCTAAAAGAGACCCTAAGGAAAATTAGAGCTTTCTTTTGCCATGGACGTTCCAAGGCAATGAGTTTATTCAGCAAAGGTATGTGTATAGACAGCATAGTTGAACTAATTGTTCATGTGCAGTTTTTGATAAATTATAGGTGGAGCTGCTAGTTCCACCTATAGTTATGGTTGCCTGATACTTTCCATTATAAGACCCTAATTTGAGCTGCATATGATTTTGCCAAACTTTAACCACTGAGGCTGAAATTTTCTATGCTGGGTGTCTGCCTCAGACTGAACATTTTTGACAGTATCAGCTGAAATATTTCAGTTTCCAAGAATGAGATTGGGGGGAAATGTCGTTTTTGCCCAGGTTAAAAAATATTTTCTTACAACTGTTTTGTTAGGAAGATCTAGCACCTTCATTCTTTAGAGCGGGGATTTGTAACTTAGCAGGCAGATTGCCCTGCTGACAGGGATGTGCTTTGAACTGTCCCTGTGAAAATTAACCCAAATTTGGCCAAGTTATGTGCCTCTGAAAAATTGCAGTTTGCACAAGGTCAGTAGAGGCTTGTTAGAGTTTGGCTACTAAATTCTCTGAAGATTTTGTCTGCACTGAGCATGCTCCAGCTTCTCACAGACCCTGTGAGCTGATTGGACTATTGATGTGGAATCCCCACACAGCACGCTTCATCCCAGGCTGCAGGATTTAACTAGACTTTCCCTGTAATAGCTCTAAGCTCTCCGAGGGGCTGCTCTGGCACTTGGCCTAGGAACTGACAGCAGTGTGACTGTCTCTCCTGTGCTATCAACATTCACTCTACTGGCATGTGGAGGACAAGACGGAAGCTACATAACTTGAATGCAGAGGCGGTCAGGAGTTGGGGCAGGTATGGAGGTGGATAGGGGCAGAAGGGGAGAGACAGAAGCTGGGAGAACAAGGGAAGAACTCTCTGTAGCCACTACAGTACACTCCTTCCAGAATCTGGAATTGAACCCAGCACACCTGAATCCCTACATTCCTCTCCTGTCAGAAAATAGCTAGAAGCCCACAGGCAAAGTGTGTGTCTTAGCCTCCTCTGGTGTCTGGTCTGCATAGAAAACAACAGCCTACTACTGCTCTAGTTACTCCATTAGGTCAAGTGATAGAAGTCTGTGGTATGGATCTTAAGGTCTGAACCCTTCTCATGACCAAATATGGTTCCACATAGTGGACATTTTTTTTGCACCTTTTTTTTTTAAATGCAGAAATTACATCAAAAATACATTAAAAAGAACGTTATGGCTGCAAGGTCAAGCACTCAACAGTTAGGAAATGCCAGAATGCATGTTGCCCTTGTAACCTTAATTTGGGTCCCTTGTGTGTGTTCATTATGATAGCCTGTAATTACATGATCAAAATTAATTTTTTTCTATAGGACTCCTGCTTCATTCAGTGCACAAGATGGACAGTGTTTCAGAGTTGAGTAGTGAATGAAGCAGGGGTTTGCAGAAAGAGAAAGGATAATCTCATAGTTAAGGAGGTTAAAATCTGCCCCAGAAAATTGGATTCTATCTCTGCCTCTTGCCACAGAGTTCCTACGTGATGCTGGACAAGTCATTTAAACCTAGATGTCCACAGTTGGCCATTAATTGTGTATCCTTCATTTTCTGGGTGCATAACATGAGAGTATAGAGCCAGATTTGCAGAAGTGATGAATGCTTACAACTGCAACTGAAGTCAACTGGACTTGTGCTTTGAACACATAATGTGTTATAATAATGCTAAGTACTCTGCAGAATTAGTCTCTAAGTGTCTCAAGTTGGGCACCCAAAATTAGTGGACATGTTTGACAGTTTTGGCCTTAATTTCTCTACGCCTCTGATCCCCATCTGTAAAATAGGGATATTATTCCCAACCACTCTCACATGGGTGCAGTGAAGATAACTTTGCTAATGTTTGTGAAGCACTCGGTGTGACCCTAACAGCATCTCAGTGCAAAAGGGCAAGGGGCTCACTGGTATCTGGTGATGAGCTTCTGCTGGCCTGACCAGTTCAGTGTACCCTAGTTCATTAATGTCATAAACTGTATCTTATGTGTGTCATATAAGGTATCAATGGAAAACGAATAACACACTAATCATTAATATTCTTCCATGGTGTATGCACAGTAAATGCCCAAGGGATCACACAAGTATGAAGGAAATTTTGAACTAAAATGTGTTTACCAGATAAGTCTTGGGAATGGGTCAACATTTTTTTCCCGAAGGACAAGCTGACACCTCCAGCCAGGTGTTATCAGAGTTGATGAACAACCACATGACAAATGATCATTCATTTGCATTGCAGAGGGCAGAAACTGATCAATTTGCATTTTAGCAAACACCAGCAGGGAAAGAAACCAGCATGGACTTTCCTTCTCCACCTGACGCCTTCCTCACAGCTTGAATGAACTTTATTGGGGGGGGGGGGTAACTTTCAGAAAAATCATTTCAAAAGTTCACTGGACTGTAAAAGAGAGGGGCAAAGAACCTCAAGTTGTCTTTCACCTAAGACAACAAAGGACTAAGCACTTTAGACTTTGTGGGAGATCCTGACCACAGGGATGGTCAGCCATCTTGCTGGAAGATAGTGTGGTAAGGATCTTACCTTGAACCAAAACTGTAGTTTTGTTAAGTCTTAGTCTCTACGAAGCACTTTTTACTTGTATTTGCTTGTAACCACTTCTAACTCTATCCTTTAAACTTGGATTCAAAATCTTGCCTCCTTTTGTTAATAAACTTGTTTAATCTAAACCACGCCAGTGCTGTGCTTGAATTGAAGTGATTATTAATTCCAGTTAAAGTGATAAA